CACTCAGTGGAAACAGGCAAGTCCAGCTCATACCAAACACCAGACTAAATAAAGGGGAGTAATTGTTTTTAAACAATGAGAAGTAGCCAGAAACAGTAATGATGCATCAGAAGTGCAATGAAACGGCCACCCATCTTAAATGTTGTGAAAGCTACACTATGACTCACGAACCTGTGGCCGTCTCGCCAGCCAGAACTTTTTCATGAACTCTTGAGACATCTTAGTCTTCTTCATCCCCAAGGCTGAAGCCTCCAAGGTATGTATGGACAAGACGTCCCAGAATTCTGGGCCAACAGGTCCTCCTGAATCTGGGAGACACCCTTTGGGGGCCAGGCTGATGTAGGGGCATGGAGAAGGCATCACGTTGCAGGAGCAACCTCGTGCTGATGAACTAAGTTCACTGAACTCATGTTCTCCACAAATAAAGGAACTAGCAACCCTCCAATCACACAGGAAGAGCTGTCTCCACAGAGGAGCGAAAAAGATGGGCCACATAAACAGTGGCAGAGAATCAAGAGCTGGTTGTCTGTAACTAAATCAACAGCAAAAAGAAAGTAAACCATGAAGTATTTTGAGTAAAGAATACAACCCAGGAGATGTTTTGGATCATTAACCTTTACAACAGTTAAGGAGCCCTTGCGAAAGTCTAGCAGTGGCAGGTTTCAGCGCTTGGAATACACACACCTACACCCACACACAAAGAGAGAGGAAGTTGTATTGTTGTTAAATGCTTGCCTGCCCTTAGTGCTGGAGGGGAAGATTCCATAATAGCTAATAATTTTTTCCCCTTTGGAGGCCAGCAATTTAACACATGAGTAAGCAGAGTTTTGTTAAACAGGATCCAATTGAACATTTTGGAGGCAAAGATAGAACAGAATAATAATGCAGTCAGAAAGCACCTTGGAGGTCTTCTAGTCCAACCTCCTGCTCAAGCAGGAGACCCTAGACCAGTGATGGTGAACCTTTTTGGCAGCAAGTAGCTAAACCAAAGCACATGTACAAGCATGTGCACATGTGTATGTGTGCGCGCCAGGACGCCGGAAACCAAAGACCAGCTGGCTGGTACATGCATGCCTGTTTTTGGCCATTTGTCGGGCTCTGAAAAATGGTCTGGAAATGGCCCAAAAATGGCCTAGTTTTTTGCCATTCTTTGGGCCATTCTTTGGGCCACTTTCAGGCCGTTTTCCAGTGTTCTGGCTCCTGCAAAGACTAGTTGGCCAGAAATCAGAAGAGCACCTGGTGACGTGCCCACAGAGAGGGCTCCGTGTGCCACCTCTGGCACGCATGCCGTAGGTTCCCCATCACGGCCCTACACCATCCCAGACAAATGGTTTTCCAATATTTTCTTGAAAGCCTCCAGTGATGGAGCACCAATTTCTGAAGGCAAGCCATCCTGGTGATTAATTGTTCTCGCTGTTAAATTATAACTTTAAATTATACCTTTTAAAAAAGCAAACTATTATCTCATAGCTGCCAACCTCTCAAATACAACCTCAGCAACAGAGTGGTCAATGCCTGGAATGCTCTACCTGACTCCATCGTACTTCCTCAAACCCCCACAGCTTCAACCTTAAACTGTCTACCATAAACCTCACCCCATTCCTCAGAGGTCTGTAAGGGGTCTGCGCATAAGCGTACCAGGGTGCCTACCATCCCTGTCCTAATGTCCCCATTTATTTGTACTCATTTCCTGGCTCATATCTATGTTTATACTTATACCTGTTATCTCGTGCATGTTTGACAAACTAAACAAAATAAAATAAATATAAATAAATAAATGAATGAATGAATAAATAAATAAATAATTATCACTGATTAAGGATGAAAAGATTGGTGGGGCTATAATGCCAGATATATTGGAGTGGCCAAGATACTGTTTTATTTCCTTTGATCTTTTTTGGAAAAAGGATTGTATCTTGAGATAACTTTTTTGCAGTTACCTTAAATGAAAGGAAACTTTTTTGGAGTTACCTTAAATGAAAGGAAACTTTTTTGGGAGTTACCTTAAATGAAAGGAAACCTTTTTATCTGTTTGACAACCATATTTGTCAAAAATAAACTAAAGAATTGATAAGTCCTGTTGTTACCCAAGTTTTAATAGAAATATCTCGCCAAGCTTGGGATAATCTAGGAACAATGAAAGAAGGCAACCTGTGATTCAGCATTCCAACATCCTACCATTTCTGTTTGGGGCTTTAGAGCAGGAACCTGATTATCAAAGTATTTTCAGGACCACCTTCTTCAACCAGAAATGACCCAGACCTCCCCCTCCCCAGGAAAAAATGGTTAGTAGTTCCCTACCACCATGACAATAACGGGTGGGGTCAAGGCTAGGAGGAGAAACTTCTCAGTTGTGTTTCTTATTTGGAGAATAGCTTTTCCTAAAAATTTCATTTTGTCCAGCTATGTTGACGCTCCAGAAACTGACACAATTGATCTTTTTCTTATAAGTCATCACTTTTCATTAGCTAGGACAGTGCCACAGGAATTCTTAGTGGTTGTTCCTTCAGCTACTCCTCAAGTGAATCCCACCTATACCCTGCTAACTGAGAAATTTGCTCAGTGAGTTTTGTCCCATTTTACAACTTTTCTTCCCACGCTTGTTAAGTGAATCACGGCAGTTGTTAGATTAATAACATGGACCTACTGTATGTAAGTGCATCCTGTCTCTCCGCTCTGTGGAGGCTGATCCAAACATGTCAGGAATAATTCTTTTTTTTTAATAAAAAGTTTTTTATTAAACACAAATTAAAACATTGGACACAGTGTTAACTGTCCTGGCGAAATCTATGTCATCCGTGCTAAGATATAAAGTTATGCATTGTAACTACCCTGCTTTTTAACATTTGATCTACTCCGTATTTACAAATATAGAAATATCATATTTCCAACCATGTTGCTTTGTGTTTATCTGATACATTTTCACTGTTATAGTTTCATACATAATTCTAGTCTCTATTCCATGAATCTTAGCCATTGCCTATTTTGGATCTTTCCTTTTTTTGTTCCAACCATCGATAAAATTTATCCCACATCTTATAATATTATGATTCATCTTTATTCTTCAATTCTCACATCAATTTATCCATTTCAGCACAGGTCAGAATCTTCCTAATTATTTCCCCTTCTTGTGAAGTCCCTGGTTCCTGGTTTCAGTACTGATTCTTTAGGGACCCATCAGGATTGTATTGTCCATTCTGGAGGAAACTGGCAAGTTCTAAAAACTAGACCATCCCAGTTCTTACATCTCTCCCGGTAACCTCTTATCCTCTCCTTGTCCATAACTCTCTTCCTACATGGCTCCTTCCTTTTCAAGACGTCTACTGAGCCCCCAACAACACCATCACGGAAGTCTCCAGATGAAAAACGACCCTCAGAAGTCTTCCCTGACAGTCCTTCCGCTGTTCCCCAGCCACCATGCTTATGATTCATGTCTGCAGCCACCAGCTATTAACGCTGCCCTATCTAGCTATTTCTGGAAATGAGGGCCCCAAACATGAAAGGCAGCATATGAACTGCCAATGTAACTATAGAAATGACATCAACAAACACAAGCACGCTGATCCCGAGGTCAAGGAAAGAGAGGGCTTGAAATAACTCATTTTTAAGTCAACAACAACACAAACAGCCCATATCCTGTGCAAGAGGACACCAGCTATTGACAATGCTGTTGTATAGTGTTTTATACCAGCTTAATCGAATCCAATATCTGCCCATAATCTCCAGCCAACCTTTCTTTTATGCAAATGCCTGGGCTCACTAACAGAGTAATTCTAATTCAGGAGCTGTTGGGCCAGGTCTACAAAAGAATTTCCCCGCTGGCATGCGGTCATCTTTGAAAAAAGGAATATCTATAATAAAGTGGTGGCTCAGTGGGTAAGATGTTGAGCTTGTTGATCAGAAAGGTTGGCAGTTTGGTGGTTCGAATCCCTAGCGCCATGTAACGGAGTGAGCTCCCGTCACTTGTCCCAGCTTCTGCCAACCTAGCAGTTCGAAAGCAGGTAAAAATGCAAGTAGAAAAATAGGAACCACCTTTGGTGGGAAGACAACAGCGTTCCATGAGCCTTTGGTGTTTAGTCACGCCGATCACATGACCATGGAGACCTCTTCGGACAGCGATGCCTCTTCGGCTTAGAAACGGAGATGAGCACTGCCCCCTAGAGTGGGGAACGACTAGCACGCATGTGCGAGGGGAACCTTTACCTTTATAATAAGTAGACCTTGACTTATGACCACAATTGAGCCCAACATTTCCCCTGCTAAGCAAGACAACTGTTAAGTGACTTTAACCCCATTTTTATGACCTTTCTTGCCACCGTTTTAACAACTGTGAATCACTGCAGTTGTTCAACTAGCAAACACAGTGGATGTGAATCTGGCTTCCCCATTGACTTTGCTGGTCAGATGGTGGGAAAAGGTGATCACATCACCCCGGGACACTCCAACCATCATAAATATGAGTCAGTTGCCAACATCCAATTTGGATCATGTTACCATGGGGATGCTGCAATGGACGTAAGTGTGAAAAACAGTCCTGTCACTTTTTTCAGTGTGGCTGTAACTTTGCATAGGTTGTAAGATGAGGATTACCTGTATTCACAACAGCAAACCTCCCTGCAGGAGTGAAATCCAGCAGGTTCTGACAGGTTCTGGAGAACCGGTAGNAAAGAAAGAAAGAAAGAAAGAAAGAAAAAGAGAAAGAAAAAAAGAAAGAAAAAGAAAGAAAAAGAAAGAAAGAAAAAAAGAAAGCTCAGAGAGCACCAAGGACTCCATAATTCAACCCTGAGTTACAAATATTCAAGTCTTCTGCCTTTTGAAAAGATGTGAACAAGAGTGAAGGTGCTTTACAAAGGAGAAGGTTGCCCTCCCCATTTCCACAAATATGGAGCTTATGTGCGGGGAGGCAAAAACTGCAACTAGCCTTGAAGAATTAGCTAGTTCTCATCATAAAACACCACCATATTTCAGCAAATTTATTCAGACAGCAATCAATGCCACTTTCAAACGGAGGCAGAAATAATTCCCAAATACCATTGATTTGGCAGCTCAGAACAGGAAAACATGCAAAGGGAAATCGGCTTTAAAAAGAACAAAAAACTTACACCTGCTGTCCTTTGCTTCCTTCGCTGTTTCTTTGACAGCCTGTTAGGGACAGAAACAAAACCGCAATGTCAAAATAACCTAGTTCAACCTCCTTTGCTTGTTGAATCCCTTCTAAAGCCCTAAAACAGTGTTTCTTAACCTTAGCAGCTTTAAGATGGGTGGACTTCAACTCCCAGAGCTCCACAGCCAGCAAAGCTGGCTGTGGAACTCTGGGAGTTGCAGTCCACTCATCTTAAAGCTGCTAAAGTTAAGAAACATGGCCCCAGAGAAATCTCGGGTACAATTTGAAACCCTTTCTGTATATAACTGGGGAAAATATGGAGTTTCTCCAGGGGTGGGATTCAGCCAGATCACATTGGTTTGGGTGAACCAGATGCTAATTTTACATCTGGTTCATCGAACCAGTTGTTTGAAGGACAGGCTGGCCTCGCCCATCTCAACCTGCCCCTCCCAGGAATCTGCATGCAGCCCATTCATCATGCCAGGTAAGTACAGGGCCTGCACGAAGGCTCTGGGAGGGCGAGAAACAGGCCTACTGGAAGTTCCAGAAGTCCGGAAACGGGCCTGTTTCCGGAGGGCCTCCGGAGCCCGGGGGGAGGCCGTTTTCGCCCTCCTGGAGACTTGGGGAAAGCCTCCGGAGCCTGGGGAGGGTGAAAATGCCTCCCTGCCGTGAGGAGGCCAAGGAGGCCACGCCCCCCAGCAACCGGGCAGAGAACCAGTTGCTAAAAGTTTTCAATCCCACTCCTTATTTCTCCTGACCAACTGGTGGCTTTGCGCATCAGGTAGCAGTTAACGGATTATTTCTAAGCATTCCTGCTGTAGGTAGCCTGAATCTCTCCTGATGGATTCTTACAGAGGAAGGGGAAACCGTGTATCCAGGCAAAGAAAGGAAAGATCAACGAACTCAGAGAAACTATGAAGATTAAACGAAAAGAAGCTGAGAAAGAAATGAATACAAAACAAATAGATTGTTCAGTTGTCTCTCGAGGGCTGGGGTAAAGGAGCATGGAATGGCACATCCTGAAATAGGGCCCCTCCCCAGCTCCCTCATGAAGCTTAATGTATGCTCTTTGGCAGTCTGAATTTCTATGTGTTTTCCATAAGTACTTTTGCCTGGGCACTGGTTCTTCTGGTTCCTCTTCGCTGTTCCACCCGTTCTCATCCACCGTGGAGACAGAAAACGCTTCTTCCTCTTCTTCTAACTGCTGCCGGAGCAAAGCCACTATCTCCCGGTGCTTCTTGGACTTCTCATGGTTCTTCATCCTGAAGAGAGAGAGATCAAAGGGATGTTACTGCGAAGAGCAAGACTTGAGTTCAGAAAGAATGGCTGCCCTTTATTAAAAGGAAAATGGAGCAGACGTTCGCTTGGGAAGAGAAGCCTGATGAGAACACAAGAGAGGTTTGAATGAACCAGGGCACGATGTCAGATGAAGTACGTGCTGGTCCTTTTGTCATGGTTCTGTTCTGACCCCCCACCTTGCTCGTTCAGAAACGACAGCCACACACAGCTTGCAAAGGAATGTCTTTATCAGTCCTGGCTTTTGCTGGCTGCGAGCCCAAAATAAACATAGATACATTCTCTGGCAAAAAGTTAAACAGCAAATGCAAAAACAAACTCTTACAGCAAACCAGGTTTATATAAAGCAAATCACTTATCCAAGTGCTTCTTTGATTCATGAACACGAACTAGAACAGGAACGGAACGAACAAATGAACGAACGTTGACTTCTGCAACTAAGGCGTGGCACCATCAGTCCTTTATCCGCAGGATGAGATCCTTAACAAGCCACAGCTGCTTGTTATCTTCTCCTGTGAGCATCCTGAAACCACTCACTGATAGCAGCTCCAAAGGCTCCTACTGAGCCACAACAGGGTTCCAAATAGCATCCAAAAGTAAATCAGAAAATCCAAAACAAAATATTGCTCAAAGTTCC